CTTTGCTCTGGAGCAAGTTCTGTGGTATGTGTTCTTGCTGGTGTTTTCTGAAGTCAGAGGCTCCCTGCTGCCTCCAAACCACCAGGAACTTGTGCTTCCCTGAACAGCCCCCTTCTGCTGTGCAGGTCTGGATGTCTCAGGGCACTGTGGCCCTCAGTTTGGGGTGTGGAAATGGGCTGGCAACAACAATCCAGCTCTCCACAGCTCTGAAGCAGGACAGCTTGAATGGCACCTGGCAGCTGGGTAGAAACCAGAGCTGCCTCAGGGCTCCAGCACAGGGAGCTGGTTCAGAAGCTTCCTGAGCAGCCACGGGAAAAGCACTCTTAGCTGTTTGCTCTGAGGGATGGCAGGAGCTGGCAAGCATGGCTGGTATCCCACTCTGGTGAGGAGCTCTTCACCATCTCTGCCTGCTGAACAACTGCATGTCATTGTCTTATATGGGACTCTTGGAGCACTTGGTATGTTTTGCCTTCACTCATTGTAACAGGACCTTCTCAGAGGAAACAAAGGCACCAAAGAGTTAGCTGCTTGTTCAGAGCTTCTGGACCACCAGGAAAAAAAGGTCCAAAGGTTTTTCCCAGCCTGAAACACATCAGTGCCTTCTTCAGTCCTTGCAAGCTGAACTTGGTCTGCACAGTTCTGCCCTGCCTCTGTCCCTTCCTGAACAGCTTGGTCATATGACTGGGTTTGCACAAAGGTGTTGTGTGGCACCAGGGCTTGCTTCTCGTCGCAGCGCTGTGTGATAAGCCAGACAGAAGGGTAGCTCTATCTGCTGTGGGGGAGAATGCTGGTCAGCTGAGGAGGGTAAATGATTTCAATGTCAGGGTGTCCACCTGCTCCCAGCAGTGCTGGTTGGGGAAGAAAAGCAAAACACTGCGGGCAGCTCTGCTAAGGACAGCAGGGCACAGCTCCCTTCTTTCATGCTGCTGAGTGGGGGTGACTGCTATAGCCCACTGCTCTAGGGACCTGACTGGCTGCTTGTTGACAGCTTGCACTGCACAGAGGTGTACAGGAATGAGCAGACTTGGGTCACTTCACCAGGGAGAACAGGCAGTGAATAGACAGCCACTGATATAATGCTGTATAAGGTCAAACACTCACCAGTCTTCATGCTTTTGAACATGAAGCCTTTCCAAGTCTTCCATGCATGGTTTTGAGTGCAAGTTTGGGGCTGTGGGCAGGTAGGAGGGAAGGGCCTGACCAAAGTCCTGTCTGCCTTGGGACAGATTCCCCCTTTGGATGGGATGGGTCTGTGGTCCACCCTTTTAAAGGGATGAAATAGGCTGTCTCGTCTCCACAAGAGGAGGCCAGGGTGCTGGGCTTAAAAGTCATTGACTTTGTTCTCTGCTCCTTGCTGGGGTGGCAGGGCTGCTGGCCCTGGGCACAGCCCTGCCCCAGCCATAGGCTGTGGGAGGAGGTCATGCAGGCTCCCCCACTGCTGCAGCACTGCCCAACAGCCCACAGGGCCCTGGTCTATGCACAGGAGCCAGGTTTCCATCATGTCCTGGTCTGCTCCTGCCTGGAGGAGGGCCAGCAGCTCCTGGGGGAGGAGAGCATGTGGCACCTCTCCTGCTCCAGCGCAGCATGTCACAGCACTGCAGCACACTACCACCTCCTTCTGGGCCTGTTTGGAGAAGAGATGTGCTTCTACCCTGACATTCCTGGAGCAAGGGCACTACGCGTTGTGACTGAATGCTCTGTGACTGAATGCTCGTAGGCAGCTACAAAGCCCTGGAGGGAAGGACAGACAGCGGCGCTTTGCCAGCGCCATGCAGCGGCTCCTCTGGAGCTGGGCTGTGCCTGCACAGCAGATGCCTCCTCTCTGTGTTACTCTCACTGGCAAGAGGGAGGCTGCCTGAGGCTGGGATACAGACTGTACCTGAGGGCAGATATTTGGAAGGGGTTACTGGGTTATTCCTCTCTCTGCCCCACTCTGATGGCGGCAGGGTTTTGCTGTCATGTAAGCCAGAGCACATTAGCCTCCACACATTGCTCTTGAGAGAACTGAAGCAGTGAAGGTGGGGGGAATGTTTTTCTGAGCACAGAGCAAGCCCATGGGAGGACCAGGCTGATGACATGAGCTGTCTCTTGCCCAGGCCTCTGCTTGTCAACACCATGTGTTCAGCCACTTGACTTAAAGCACTAGCTGCCTGCCTGGGTCAGACTCCTGTGTGAGGGTGCATTTCCCATGCACACCATAAAAAACAGACCCAAGAAAGCTTTAAGGAGGGAAGGTCACATGCCTGCCTTCAGACTGCTGCAGTTCTGGGCATGATAGCCCAAGCTTAGTGAGGAGGAACCAAAGGTAAACTGCTCAGCTGTCCCAAATGAGCTTCAAGGGCTGGCAGAAAGGCAGGCACCACACTGGCCTGAGGGAGGAGACCCTGCTGGGAGAGCTCCATCCAAACCTGGGGCTCCCTCCTGTGCTTTCAGGCAGCTGGCAATGTGAAGTAAATCCCAAAAGCCTCCTGGGAGCCTCTGGGCAGTCCTCAAGGGGCAGAGCTTAAATGGTTTCTGTCCCTGAGGTGATACCCTGAGTGTTTGGAGGTGTGATCCAGGCATCCACCCCTTGGAAGGTGAGGTGTCTGAGGATTGCTGCCTCCTAGCCTGGTAAGAGCTGGCTGTGCCTCAGGTGCTGAGCAGGCAGAGCTGGAAGTCCCCTAGCATGCAGGATAGACACAGAGCTGGAGCAAGGACTGATCCCTGCCCTGACTTCCTCAGGGAGGAGGGAGTTACGTGCATGATAGGGCTGGAGCAGTGTCAGGGAACAGCTACTTACTAAAACAAGCTTACTGAGTGGTGCCAGTCTAAACAGACAACAAGCAGACAAACTGCAAATGCAGTTGTAGCTATGGAAGCTGGCATCTCCTGGAAAACTCTGCCCTGGGGGCCTATCCAGCCTCTTCTGCTTGTGGCCTGTCCAGAACTGGCAGCAGGCAGATTCTTGTCATCTTCACTGTGCTAAAACTGTGGTTTTTTGATTGTGCATGGAAGTGACCCAATGGCAAAGAACCTACCTGCTAGTTTTCCAAGTAAGCTTGCTGCTGATCCTGGAGCCCTCTGCACACAGGTGCTGTTAGTGTTCCTTGGCATCAGCTGTGGAGGCTGCGACAGAGGGAGACTCTGAAGGTGATGCATCCTAGCTCTGCCACGGCCTCCTCTTGCTCGCTCTCCTTGTGGTGACCAGGTGACTTTATAATCGGGTATGTCAGTCAGCAAGAGCTCATCCTTGCTGTTTCTGTGGGGCCTGCTGCCTGGGAAGAGCAAGCTCTTCCTACCACTGAGAAGTGCTGGCTGGTGCAAAAGCACCCTCTGCCCAGTGCCCAAAATGCAGAGTGAGCTTTCTCCAGCATTGAGGGGCAGGAGGGACACTGCTCAGCCACTGACCTTGGCTCTTCTCGGGACTTGTCTGTACCCACCTCCCCACAACCATTCATATGCAGTAGCTGAATCTCACCTTGAGAGCACCTCCTGCCCCCTGGGACCTTACACCTTTGTCCTGCTGTAGGTGGCAAGGCTGCACAACAGACTTACTGCAGGACACGGCCGAGCACATCAGCAAAGCTGGTGGTGCCTCTGTGAGAACATATTTAAGAAAGGGCAGTAAATGCCAGAGAGAGAGGAGGGAATAAAAGAGTGAAAAACATTAGAGGGTTGGAGGAGGAGGTGCTCCAGGTATTTGCAGCCTGTGGAGGACCATGGAGCAGGTGGATGTTTCCAGAAGGACCTGCGACCCATGGAGAGGACCCATGCTGGAGCAGGTTCTCCTGGCAGGGACCCTATGTCAGTGCCCAAAGGCTGTGCTGTGTTGGAGTTCAGGCCAGCTGGGAGCTCTGTGACAGGCCCCAGCAGTGCCTGGTCTGGTCCAGGACAGCTGCTCCTGCTGGTCTGAGCATGGTTTGCTGAGAGCCAGCAGCTCAATCTGCCTTCTCCGTCACCAGGAGCCTAACAATCCCTCCAAACATTAATGTACCCAGAACACAGATTGCTTTGGGTGGGCCATGGGCTCTGCCAAAGCTGCAGGGAAACAACCCAAGACTGCAGGTGTCACCTCCCTGTTTGCATGCACGGTCACACAGCTCACCTCTCCCAGCAGGAGTGGCAGAGAGGAGAGAGAGGTGCAGGCTGCAGCCCCCATTCCCTGTCCCCCTGTGCTGCTAGGTGGAGGAGATAGGAGAGAAAGTAGTGTTTTAGTGTTTGTCTTTCTTCCTCACTACCCAAATCTGTTTTAATTGGTGATAAATTAATTTAATTTTCCCCGAGTTGTACCTGTTTTGCCCATGATGGTAATAAGTGAGCAATCTCCCTGTCTTTATATGACCTATGAGCTTTCTCATCCTCTTCCCATCTTGCCCTGCTGAGAAGGGGCAGTGAGTGACCGGCTGACTGGGAGTTTGGCCCTTAGCCATGTCTGACCTGCCACCCTCCTCACATGTGCTCCTTCCCCAGTGCCCCAAGTGCTGTAGGAGCGCAGGGTCCCCTCCAGCACTGCTGCCTGGTGTGGGGAGGCAGTGGGACAGGCAGGGACTCTTAGGCTCCAGCACTCCTGGGACGGCAGCTCACTCAGAGCAGACTCCTTCCAGGCTGAACCTGTTTTCTTGCTCAATAATTGTATGCAACATAACAAAAGTCTGGCCCTGGCTGACCTGCACTGGCTGCTTGTGTCGAGATCGTGACGTTGTGCAGTCCCCGCAGCCTGGGCCCAGCTGCGGAAAGAAGTTTGTCCCCTGGGGACACTTTCCATCCAAGGGGTGCTGCAGTGATCAGAGGGGGCACTGGGCCTGAGAGGCTGCAGCACCCAGCACAGGATCTTGGCGCTTCCCCTCCTGCGAGTGCTCACCTGTGCACCAGTTTGTCTCCAGCAAGTGTGGGCCACTTGCCAAAGTGAGCGCTGGGGTGCAGAGGGGCACTGCAACTGTGCCAGGGCTGGCAGATGTGGTTGGCCCCTGCGAATGTTGCTGTGCTGCTCTTTGACTGACCAAGCTCTCTTGTCCCTGCAGTGTACGTCGTGGAGGAGCGGCGGAGAGACGATACAGGCGAGAGCGCCTGCCTGACGGCATGCTGGACTGCACTCTGCTGCTGCTGCCTCTGGGACATGCTGACCTGACTCCACTGCAGCTGCCTCCGGTACCTCTCACTGAGTGCTATGCAGGCTCCCCACTCCTGTCCTGACTTCTTTCTGTTACTGTAATCAATGCTCTGCTTTGCACGACCAAGAGTTCCTGTCTGTCAGTCCTAGCGCCTTGTTGGGGTGGGGGGTGCACTCCTTTATTTTAGTAAAGGAAAAATCCCTTTTTAACATTTCTAAGACACTTGTAATTTTGAAGAATGTGCTAATGGTATATTTCAGCCAAAGGCATTCTGATGAAATGTATATTTATCAGTTGAAATTTTCCTAGTCCTAGAAATGAAGATGTATGCAATAATTAAAGCCAACAGTTGATTTTCTTCGCTAGGTCCCGACTGTTTCAATAAATCTGTCCCGTAGAGGGTGTGCTTGCCCCGTCGCTGTCTGTTCTCAGCCTCCCGCACGCGCTGACTTTGCAGCAGCAATGATGGACTTCGCTTCAAGCAGCTTTGCTGCAGAAGTTTGTGCCTTAACCCCTCACTGGGGCCTGGGCTGGGGGTGTCTGGTCCTGCTGTTACCATCATCTGGGGGATTTTCTGCAGCAGCCTGGTCTGGAATCCGTAAGAGCGCAGTGAAACCAGCTGGGGTAGGGAGGGTGGAGCACCTGTGTCTGACACCACCAATCCCCTTGTCCTGCACAGGGCAGCTCAGCTGGCTTTTCATCCCTCTGCTTATTTAGGGCTAGACATGCAGGTCCCTTTCTGGGACTGGGGGCCTCTCCAGCAGCTCCTGGGATGGCAGAGAGCTGGGGGAAGCACATGCTGAGCTTGTGCGTGTGTATGCCAGCAGCTCTTGGGGAGGACTGATCCCACTCAGGGGTTTTGAGCACTGATCCATCATCCCCCTGCAGCTGAGTGTAGGCTTGGGCTGGGGGGGGGTAAATTAATGGGTAAGAAGGAACGAGGCCATGGATTAATTTAGTGCTGAGGATTTACAGCTGAAGCTGTTTCATGGCATGCCTGGTCAGAAGAGGGATAAAAAGCTTTCATCCGCAGAAACATGGGGAAACCTGCTGCTGGTCACCACGGGGGACAGTTCCCCCTGCTGTCCTGGTTAGCTACTGTTCTCTCTGCCTGAGGAGCAAAACCAGTCCTGGTGGACTGACACACATTGGCTTTGCATTGTATTACCTGAAGATCATCTTGTACCCTTTCGCAGCAGGGCTTCAAAGGGTGCTGCACTCGCCATCTCTCAGTCTGTGTATGCTACAGCCAGCCTCCCTGAGACCTGGCAGCAGGTGCCAGGAGAAGGAAGGGTGGCCCAAAGCTGAACTACATGAGGGTTGTTCTTATCTGGACTATAAGGCTCCTCCTGTGCTGCAGCCAATGCAGCAGCTCTGGTCCCCTGCTCCTGCATGGGCCCTGGTCCAGCATCCAGGCCTGAGGGAACCAATGCAGGGTCAGGGCTTAGCTGTGAACTGCAGGGCAGGGCCACAGCCACCATGCCACAAGGCTTGCTCAGGCCTCACAAGGCAGCTCACTGGGTTCCTCTGTGCTTTTTTGTCTGGACTTCCCCCCGACTGGGTGCATGCTGCCTCTGACGCAGCCCAGGCAGTCCGTACACCTCTGCTTGGGTCTTAGAAATGCAGTTTTCGGGGGGTGGGGTGGGGGAGTGGGAATCAGGCTCAGGGTGCTGGAGAAGAGAGGGCTCCACCAGTCCCCCAGTGAGCCACTCCCAGGCCCATCACAGGGTCTGTCAGCCCCTCACAGGCCCATCCATGAACCTGGAGGAGTGCATGGACATAATGGCAGGCAGGAACCCAACCCAGGGATAATCAAGGTACAGACCTTGTCTGGGGCCTTTCCCAGGGCTGTCCCCAGAGAGCCTCAGCCCCATGTCCAGGCTACACCTATCTCCATGAGTGACCCAGAGCAGCTCTCCAGCTCTCCTTTCGGAATAAGGGGTTGCTGCCTGGGGTGGGAGGACACACACATATTAGCAGATGCAGGGAAAAGTTGTTTGGGATTGCACAGGACTTGGTGGAGGACCCTAAGGCAGAGGTGTAGGTGCTTTTAGGAGGAACAAGTGTGGAAAAATAGTGAGGTATGGGGATGAAAGGACCAGTTGGGTGTAAATGACCAGCTGGTTGGTGCACTTGTCCAGTGCCTGATAAGTGCAGTCTGTCCAATCTTACTAAAGGCCTCTTAAACTCTGTCCTGGGTGAAGGCTCCCTACTGAGCATGCACATGCATGTGCAGGGTGTGAATGGACCAGGGGATCAGCCCACAGGCCCCCATGTCCATGGGGCAGTAACTGCAGCCAGTGCAAGTGTGTGATCACCAGCGAAGATGAAGCTGGAGGAGCAGGTGACATGGCCTTGGAGCCCCGGGGGGGGGCAGGTAGCAAAGGGCCAGCCGAGTGTGACAGCACTCATATGTCTACAGGGCAAGAGCACAGGAGCTCGGCAATGGGACCTGGAAACTCCTGCCCAACTCCAAGATCCCAAGGAGCTGCTGGCAGGAGAGGAGACTTTTAGGTCCCTAAAAGCTCCATTTCTGAAAAGTACCAAAGCCAGGAGCAGGGGAAGGAAGAGGCCAGGCTGGTGCACTGCAAGCACAAAGCAGAGGGTGGGACTGGCTCTCCACAAGCTCACTGCCATGCTGAGACTCTGCGAGGCCTGTGTGTACAAGGAAGGAACCAGGGCCTGTCACCACAGAAACTGAATAAATGACCACCCATTGCAGACCTGGAAGTGCCTGTCACAGCTGGCCCTGCTCCCTTTTCCCCTGCTGCAGTTTTGCCAGTCCCACTCCAGCTGAACAATGCAGTGAGCCTTCTCTAGTGCCCAGCACCAAGCAGCACGCAGGGTCTTTCCAGAGGGCAAGGGCTAAGGCTGCTTTAAAGTGAAGCAGGATTCCCCAAAGGGCCCTCACCCCAAATCTCACCACCACCACCACCTCCTTTCTCCATCAAATCCCCAGAGGGAGAGCAGCTGCTGCGAGACATCAAGGCAGCAGGCAGAGGAAACGAGCTCAGGCTTTGCAGCAGAATTTTATTGAAACTACCACAGAACAGAGCTTGTGCAGCCGGGTGGCAGTGAGTAGCACGCAGGCAACGCTGCCCAAAACCACCCAGAGGGTTTCACAGGAGGCCCAGGGGGAACTGCACAGCTACTGCGCCCTTCGGGCCATCAGCATTTCACGGATGTTATCTTCTGCTTCCTTCACACTCCGCTCCAGGTACGACTTCTTCTGCTGCAAGGCAGAAAACCCAGAGGAGAGTTAAGGTCCACCTTGGCACTGACAGCACATGCCAGGATGTGTGGGCCCAGAGCAACCCAGGGCAGAGCTGCAAGTAGCCTGCCAAGGGCACACACAACCCTATGGGTTTCCCAAAGTGAGGACAAGTGGTTATTCATTTCCAGAGGTATCCTGAAAGCATTAATATTTAGGCCTGGGCAGTGTTAACACAGACTGAATTTTGTTCCCCCTGAAATGTTCTCCTCAGGGCTGCCAGGGCTGTTGCAACAGCAGAGCTGCAAAAAGCAGGATACATTAGCCACAGCAAGGAAGGAAAAGTAAATCAGATCCTGTAACACTTGATGCCTAGAGAGGAATTAACATCCTGAGGCCTCCTTATGAAGACAACAGCAACATCATTTTGCACTTGGGTAAAAAAGGCTCTTTTTCCAAACTAGGCCAGTTTTCTAAACCCAGACCCTCCTTTCTATCAGAAATTCCCTGGCATCATCACCAAATATGTGTGTTTCCTTAATCATCTTTAATTAGTCTAGGCTTGGCAGGGAAGCAGCCCAAAGCTGTGCATCCCAAGATAGGCATTCAGCATGCAGCATTTTTTCCTGCTAGTCTGCATGCTGCTAGGTGACTGGAAAAATCAGTGCTTGGCTCTTTTGACTATTTTCTCTGGGTTCCCAATCAACAGACACAACAGTCTCCAGTGGATGCCAGGCCAGCAGAAGGCATTGCTGTGTGAGTGCAGGCAGCCCTTACTGCTGGATGTGGACCTCCTTTGGCAGCAGCAGGGAGAGCACTGCTCCAAATGCATTTTATTATGGGCTGGGGGGACCCTCGGGGAGGCTCCCCAGAGCTGGGCTTGCAGAGGACCATAGGGAGAGCCCTCAGAGGCACATGCCGGTGGTGGTACCTGCTGCACTCTGGTGCGGAGCTTGCTGTCCTCACAAGGTCCTCTTCTCAGCAAAGCCTGCTGGGGATCACTGTGACACAATGCTCCCACTACCTCACAGTGGTTACAGCCACACACTAAGCACTTTCCAAATGGCCTGGGGGGCTCAATAGAGCTCAGTCTCCAGGCCAAGCTAGGTACCGATAACCATTGGTGGGATTATTATTAAATTACAGGAGTCCAGGCCTCAGCCTAGAGCATCCTGCCATAGGCTCCACTAATTGCCTCCCCAGCCACAGGCAGAGGAGCCCAGTATGGCATGAATGACCTCCAAAGCCCACCAAAACCAAGGACAGCTAAAGGGGGATAGCAGAGATCCTCAGCACTGCTCAGCCATGCAGCAGGGCTGGAGGAAAGGGTAAAAACACATGCTGCTCTGGGGTGTTCCCCCAACTGCCAGCTGGCTGGAGCAGAAGCAGCACCCATGGGCACAGGCTGCAGCAAAATCACGTGCTGGCCTCCACCAAGCAGCACCCTCCTGCTATGGGGGGCTATTGTGTGTGAGCCAGAGGACGCGACCACTGCCGGATGGCAACAGGCAAGAACTGTGAAGTTGATGCTCCCCTGACAGCCTCCACCTGACTCCTGCAAGCCCATGGGGAGCTGGGACCCAGAATGCTGAAGAAAAATTCATTAGCACATGGGACAGTCCTGCTGCCATCAGTCCCCATCCATCCCCTCACAGCAGACCTGCAGTGACACTTCTGTAAACTCAGCTGAAATGCCCTTGCCTGTTTCTAAATACTGAACGGCTTTTATTTAAACAGTAAAGCTGGTTAGCAACAGCTAGGGTTGTGGGTACAGCAAAGGGCTCCTTGTCCCTCTCACACGGTCCCCAGGCACAGGGAATCCATCTCAGTTACAAGATGCTGCTCAGTTACAAGCTGCTTTTCAGGAAACCACTGGGAGAGGAGGTGCAGCGTGGGTTCCTGCTGCCAACAACTCGCTGATGCACGAGCAGTACTTCTGCCACCACCACGCTGTTCTCATGCTGCCCAGACAGACATTGAGCGATGTCACATCTAGGGAACTGAATCTGAAGGCTGCAAGCGGAGACAGGTCCTGGAAAACCTGCATGGGTCCAAGCTCCACCTTGCTGTGCTGACTGGAGGACAGTGGCATCAGCAGAGCTGACTTCTATGCATTCATTTATTACTAAAAAAATTTTTTATGCAGTTGAACTAC